TTGCGTACACGTATGACAAAAAGCATACTCTAAAAATAATCGGGCGTTTCGATTTTCGAATCGTTTTTTTTTTTCTGTATTTCCGTTATCGATCAATTGATAATGAATGAAATTTTCTTTCGATTGTTGTATTTTGTATTTTTGTTTAATAATAAATTTTCTCTTAGAAACATATCATGATGATAATAATGACTCGTAAATATATAAAAAAAAAGCTATCACCCAACCATCGTATTAAATGTTTGAATGAATGAATGAATGAATGGAAAAAAAAACTCACGTGACAAATTTTATTTGTTTTCCATTGTTTGTTTTTTATTTATTTATACGAGGTAAAATAATCGTGTAAAGCTTAAACTTCGATATTATTTATATTATTATTATTATTATTAATTACGAAGGGCGTTAATATAATTGTAAGAAAATTTTACGGATGAAAAAATATTAAAACAATTGAAAAAATTTTAAATTTGTCCGGATTATTTTAATTTATTTATTTATTTATTTTTATTATTTGTGTGATCGTTATTAAAAAACAAACAAAAACAAACAACGACAAACAAAAGTAACAAAAAAAAAATGTAAAATACGTCACGGTTAAAATTTCACGCATCATTAATTGTGTAATTTCCGTTTAAAAAAAACGAGTTTTTATAAATAAAATTTTGTTTTTTTTTTTGTTAATTTAAAAAGTACCCGAATGAGTACTTTCGAGTTCGATTTTTGTATAAAAAAAATTTTAACGGGTAAAAACAAAAAAAAAAGTTTCGGGGGCAAATTAAAACGGAAAAAACAAATAATTTATTTATTTAAATAATTAAAACTTTTTTTTTTAACGGTCAAAATTATTATTATTCTCTTACGAAAGAAAAATTTAAAGAAAAAAAACAAAATGGCTGACAGGCAAATGTAATTAATTTTTCTTGTCATTTAAATTTTTAAATTTTAAAATTTTTTTTTGGTGATTTTATTTATTTAAATTTACCCCCTCCCCGCCGTTTTACCTGTTTATTTATATATAACTTACGGATGATGATGATGATGATGATGATAATTTTAAACAAACCGTTACAAATATCAAATCGGATTCCATTTATAAAAAAAAAATTTTATTTTTAAAGACGCCTCGAGTGTCCATTTTTAATAACCGAAAGGAGGAGAAGAAATCATTTTTAATGAAATAATTCATATTATTTTATTTCTAGAATTTTCGGGGGTTTTTTTTTTGTCATCGTCGCCGTCGTCGTCGTTTTTTTAAGAGACTCGTTTGTATAGTCCTTATTTCGGGGGGGGGGCAAGCG